GGACGAGGCACAGAAGGCTTCCAAGTTCAGGAGTTTCTGTCCCCATGGAGCTGGGGTGTGCCACCCTCCTGGAATGTGGATGACCCGTCACCAACCCAGAACCTCATCAAATCTTGTTCAAGAGTTTTTATAGAGCTTAATCTCAAGCCTCCCCACTCGCCTTTGCCTTCCCAGAGGTCAGGGGGTGGGGCTGAAAGTTCCAATCCTCTAATCACTTGTCTTTCTGGAGACCATCCCCATCCTAAGGCTATCTACGGGGCCCACCCTAAATCACCTCATTAGCGTACATTCAGGTGTGCTCAAAAAGGGGCTTCTTATAAATAACAAAGGACACGCCTATCACTCAGAAAATTCCAAGTGTTTTAGAAGTTTTGTGCCAGGAATGGAACAAAGACCAAATATATTTCTTTTTTTTTTTTTTAAAGATTTTATTTTTTCCTTTTTCTCCCCAAAGCCCCTCGGTACATAGTTGTGTATTCTTCGTTGTGGGTTCTTCTAGTTGTGGCATGTGGGACGCTGCCTCAGCGTGGTCTGATGAGCAGTGCCATGTCCGCGCCCAGGATTCGAACTAACGAAACACTGGGCCGCCTGCAGCGGAGCGCGTGAACTTAACTACTCAGCCACGCGGCCAGCCCCTATATTTCTTTTTTTTTTTTAAAATAAAGTTCCTAGCACAGCAGTAAGTCAATAGATGTTAGCGATCATTTTTTTTTTAAGATTTTTTTTCCTTTTTCTCCCCAAAGGCCCCCAGTACATAGTTGTATATTTTCGTTGTGGGTCCTTCTAGTTGTAGCATGTGGACGCTGCCTCAGCGTGGTTTGATGAGCAGTGGCATGTCTGCGCCCAGTATTCGAACCAACGAAACACTGGGCCACCTGCAGCAGAGCACGCGAGCTTAACCACTCGGCCACGGGACCAGCCCCCAAATATATTTCTTATTATACCACATCTGGGTTCCTTGGAATTTGCAGATGAATTTCAGAATAAGCTTGTTGATTTATGAAAAGATGCCAGATGAGATTTCGATAGGGGGTGCACTGAATCTGCAGATCAATTTGGGGAATACTGCCATCTTTACAATATTGGGGGTTTTTTAATTTAAAAAATTTTTTTTCAAAGATCAGAACCTGAGCTAACAAGTGTTGCCAATCTTTTTTTTTTTTTTTCTGCTTTATCTCCCCAAATGCCCATGGTACATAGTTGCATATCTTAGCTGCACGTCCTTCTAGTTGTGTCATATGGGATGCCGCCTCAACGCGGCCTGAGGAGCAGGCCATGTCCGCGCCCAGGATCCGAACTGACGAAACCCTGGGCTGCAGCAGCAGAGCACAGGGACTTAACTACTTGGCCCCGGGGCTGGCCCCACAATATTGTTTTTTGATCCATGAACATGGAATGTCTTTCCACTTATTTAGGTCTTCCTTCATTTCTTTCAACAATGTTTTTTAGTGTTGAGAATGTAAGTTTTACACTTCTTTTGGTAAGTATAAATTTAGTATTTTATTCTTTTTGATGCTATTCTAATAAATCACTATTTTTTAAACCTATTTTAAAATATCTGAAATTGAGATGTATCTTACAATCAAAGGTCTCTTAGCATTATGCCATAGTTCAACTAGCAGTAATTTTTTTATCTTAATGGACATGACTGTGACTTATAATCAATAGCCTCTTAGATTCAATATTATATGGTATTAAATGTGAAATGTCTATAAAACGTTGAAGTGGAAATGAAAAGTAGGCATTTGGATATATCAATTTAGAAATCAGAAGACAGGATTGAACTAGACAAAGAAATGTGGGAGTCATCAGAGGTTCATTACGTAAAGCCACAAGAGTGAATGAGATTCCTGATGAGAAGAATGTAGAGAATAGTGTAGAGAAGACAAGAGAATCCAGGTTGCAGCCCAGAGAAATCTCAGCAAGTAGCGGTTGAGTAGAGGAAGAAGAGCCCACAAAGGAAACATTTTGTTTTGAGTTTATTGTTGTCATTATTGCTCTTACTATTTGTCACTAGATGGAAGGACTTACAGGGCTAGGACCTCACCTCTTTTGTTCTCTAATGAACCCCTGAGCCAAGCACTTTACTACATTTTGATATTAATCTACATGTCACAGATAAATTGGGGAAAGTGATTCAGAATAATCTATGTTTATTTGAGAAATAATGTGTTGATTAACCACCAGCTCTTTCACCCCGGAAAATCCAACATGAACACAAGTAAATAAATAAGGCTTTCAGATCTTCAGAGAAGCACTTTAATCTGATTGTGATTTTGGAAAGAAAATAGGCACATGCTTATTACATATTAACCAAGAGTGTCTAAAGGCAGAAGAGAAAAACAGTCATAATAAGTACTGTAGCATTCACAATTAAAACTAGAAATGCGTATAAAAATCCTTGTAAGGAGTTTATATCCATTTGCTGTCACATTTCTATAATATAAGTAGGACACCAGCTGGTAGCAATGCTAATTCATCCGCCATTCATTGACTGTTTGTCACTTCACAGATGTTGAATCTTAGCCATTCCTTTTTTCATTTTTTTCCTTCGTATTTCAAATGCCCTAACCATCATATAAAGTTACCATAATACCATGTCTTCTAGGCAGTGTTCTCAATCAGGGGAGATTTTCACCCCAGAGGACATTTGCAATGTCTGGAGACATTTTTAGTTGTCACAACCTGACATGGAGTGCTATTGACAACAGGAGGTAAAGGACAGGAATACTGCTAAACATCCTACAATCCCCAGGACAGTCCCTCATAACAAAGAATTCTCCAGCCCAACATGCCAACAGTGCCAAGGTTGAGAAACTCTACCAATGGGGATACGTTTATATATACAGTCACGTGCCGCTTAACAACAGGGATGTGTTCTGAGAAATTTGTCGTTAGGCAATTTCATTGTTGTGCAAATATCATAGAGAGTACTTACACAAACGGAGATAGCATAGCCTACTTCACACCTAGGCTTTATGATACTCATCTGTGGGATCACCATCGTCATATATATGGTCATCACTGACAGAAATGCCATTTTTTGTGGCACACAACCGTATATGAAATATCTGGGGGCAAAGTCCATAGTTTTTACCAAATTCTCAAAGCATAACTCAAAATTTAAGAAACACTGGCTTTAGTGGATATTTCATCTAGGCCTTGGTAACAAGTGACATGTTAATCCAGCTTCACAACTGAAATCACCTCCCTAGTTAAGAAGACTTCCGTCTGCCAGCCAGATTTCTCTCTTTCCAGTGTCCACTCTCATTCATGGCTAGACTGACACAGCTCTTTGGATTTCTTGTCTCTAGGTACTTGGAAGACAGTACCTCGTCTACTCCCATTAGTCAGGTTAATACAACTATTATGGTTACGGTGACTATGAATAAGCTGTGGTTTCATGATAGGTCAACAGAAGACCTGCTTTCTTTAGACATATCTAGTTCATTTGGTTAGCGTCCATTTATTCAACGTCCACTACGTTTAACACAGCTAGGCACTGGGTACATGATGATGAAAATTAGGTTAGAGTACTCGAGAGACATTAATAATAAAACTTAAACACAATCTAAAACTGCAATATGGGAGCGAGGGTACGAAAAGTGAAGGCGAGAGGAACTGAAATAAGGATGAAAACTAAGGACTGAGGGCCTGGCCCCCTGGCAAAGCGGTTAAGTTCGCGCACTCCACTTTAGCAGCCCAGGGTTCCCCCAGTTCAAATCCTGGGCGCAAACATGGCACTGCTCACCAGGCCACGCTGAGGCAGCATCCCATATATCACAACTAGAAGGACCCACAACTAAAATCACACAATCATGTGTGTGGGAGGGGGGCCTTTGGGGAGAAAAAGGAAAAATAAAATCTAAAAAAAAGAAGTAAGGACTGAACAACCACATCATCGTATGTCATCCAAATGCAGCAAGCTGCTAACTCCCTCCTGGCTATTTTAAACAATTCTGTAACATCTATATCCCAGGCCAGGTAACTTGGGATGTACTTACATTTGACTAAAATTTCCAGGGCACTGAAAGGCAAATTTGGAAGAGTAGGAGCTATGGAAAAGGTGAGAACACCAAATACCAAAGCTTGCTTTTTTGTAATTGTTGTTACGAATGGATCTAACTAGAAACCAACGTGCAAACCAATGTGCGCGTGTGGGAGAGCAGAGATGAGGAATAAAGCCAATGTCTAAAATGCCTCCCAGATACTCAGCAGATTTTGTAATTGTTACAATCGCCATCGCTCTTGATTCCGATATCGGAAGTTAGAAGTCGTGGTCTGTAAATCAAGAGAGGCAAAAAACTCAACTTAAACATTCCCCCAAATATGAGCAACTCAGTATATCGTTAGCAGTCAGCCTAAACCGGTCAGGGAGGCCTAGCCAGCAATTTTTAGACAGACAGCCAGGCTTGAATTGAACTCACAAAATACCCCAAGTAGGTAAAATACCCGGGGTTTCCGTGGGAACCGGGTAAAGGGCGGCTGGTGAGAGAACAAAGGCTGCGCGCCTCACTTCAGGGCCTCACTGGGGGCGGGGGCGGCGGGGCGCCCGGGTGGCTGGCTCCGGGTCGGTGACCCAGGCCGCCGCGGCGCTGGCGCTCCTCTCCGGGCCGCTCGCCCGGCTGGTGCACAGGAGGGCGCCGCCGACACCGGAGGCGCGCGATGAGGGACACAGGAGCCGAGGCCCAGGCACTGCCGGAGTGAGCCAGCCAGTGACTTGTGAAACACGCTGCGAGCCGTGACACACCGGGACCAAGATCACGCGGCTCGCAGGACCGGCTGAAGCCGCCCAGATAGAGCACGCGGGCGGGGAGGGGCGCCGGGGACACAGGGCGACGTCCCTTGCAGTTCCCGTTTCTTACGGGCCGCCGTCGCCGCCAGGCTCCGCCCCCTCGCGCTTATGTAATAGGGGCGCGCTGCCATTGGCCCACGCGACCGGAAAGGGCGCAGGCGTGCGAGCGGGGTGGGGGCGGGGGATGCGGCCGCTGCTCGCAGGCGAGTGGGCGGGGACTGCGAGGAGCGGGCGGGCGCTGGGGCTACTGGGAGAGCTGCGCGGCGTGCGCGGGCACGAGGCGGAGTGGCCTGCCCCGGCTGAGGCGGCGGCGCGCGCGGCGGCGGGCGCGAGGCGCGGGCTGTTGTGCTCCGGGCTCTCCAGTTTCTCCTCCTCGGCGGGTGGAGGAGCCGAAGCGGTGCTGGGCGCGCTCCCCCGTCCTCTCCCTCCGGCCACCTCCCCCGGCCCTCTCGCGCTGCGCGGTCTCTCCGACGCAAGACTGTCCCGGCCCGGGTGAGCGGCTGTGGGGGCGGCGCTGACGCCGCAGGACGCCTGGGAACCGGGTGGGGGCCCCCGGCTGGATCGGCAGGGACTGTGGGGGTCACCGCAGGTCGCAAGAGGCCGCCGGCCGCCCCCGCCTCCCTGGGGACCGCCGGGCCCGTCCTGTCCCGGCGCGGGCCGCGGGAAAGAGGGGCAGCTCGGGCGCCTGCCAGGCCCTGCAGGTGGCCGGGTCTCAGGCCGGCCGCGGGAGCGGAGCGGTAACCTTACTCCCTGGCGACAGCAGCTGGCCGGTTTCTCGGGGCTGGGGCTCCCCGTGGCCGAAGGGGCCGGGTGTCGGGCAGCCAAGGCCTCCAGGAGGCACGTCTCGGGCCGGGGTCCGAGACGAGTGGCGGGTCGGTGGGGGCTGTGTGGCTCTTCGTGGCTGAAAAGAGGAAGGTGCTGCCCGAGGCGGGAGAGGCAGGTTTGGGAAGGAAGGTGGACCGGGCTGCAGCTGGGATCAGTGAAGTGTGGGGTGAAACAGACTTTGCTCCTGGCTTTCATTCTCTCCCCTTTCCAAAAGGATGTAGTTAAAAGCTAGGGTCGGGATGTTCATCACTGCCTGGGCCTCTTCGTTTCAGATGGTTATGGAGAATGATCCTACTTCCTGGATCAAGAATTTTTTTCTCTTACTCATTTGTTTTGATTTTAAGAGGATCTTTGAGGCAGTGCTTACTTGTTGCCTCCTGTAAGAGCTCCTCATTTTAGAACTCATTCGTTCCACTTCCCTCTTTGCAGCCCCCTTCGGAAAACCACACTAACGAATTCTATTAAAAACCAGCAATAAGGTATTTGTAAATGACTTCTTGCCCCTCAGTTTGTCGCATTTAATCAAGGAGAAGTTATGCTTAAGATTTTGTAGAAAATTCAGTTGGCTGGAGAGCAAGTCCTAAGTTGAGCTGTCCAAAAGCAGGTGGCTTGTTCGTTTGCATTTCGGCTTTCAGAAAGGAAATCGATGCAGGGTGTTGTTAGAAGTTAGGGGCCTACCTCATGTTTTTAGACTGATTCGATTTCCTTTACCTGGTGTTTTCTGTTTTAAAAATAAGAATAAGCAACTACAGTTTTTTTATTAAAGTTTTTATGGCTGTTTTGTTACGATTATTAGATGACTGGAAAATGGTTAAATCTATGCGTATTATATTTTAGGCGAAGTTCTAAATGGAAAAGTTACTAAGGTACATCTAATGACTTTGCTGTGTACAGATCACTGGGTGAAAATGTTATTAAAATACTTAATAACTTCTAGTTACCAAAGAAACTTCTGGAATTAGTGGCGTGCCATTTTGTAAGTCTTTTTCAATGTAAAACAATTGAGGTTACCCACAAAATCGATGCATTAACATACACAGTATACATTGTGTGGAAGAGTTCAGATGCGTGAGAGGACCAAAGTAGTCTAACATAGGGAACTGATACCAAGACATTGAGACATTAAGAGCTTTATAAAACATTGGGATACATAAAGTTGAACACCCAACTGCTGTCGTACGAATGACGCAGAAGTGTCCAAACCTGTTTCTGTGGGAATAGGTTTGTAAGCTTGCCGTAAGATTTGGACTTAAATATATTTTAAAATAATCATTCCTTTGGCTTGGATTTAATAAGGATTTGCTTTTTAAAAAAAACGTAGATGGAAGTTTAGTCTTCAAGGACTAACACATGTGGTAGTATTTACCATTATTTGGGAATGGGGTTTGTATATTAGGCTAGCATACTAAACATTTTTGTAATTTGTTAAAATACTCAGCTGGCTTCCTAGAAAAGCATTGATCCTCTTCTATATTTTATTTGACTTGCAGTTCAGTGTTAAATGCTAGTGAGAATTTGTCCAATTAGTGTATTTATTTTTTCAGTTTCCTTTTTTTCTTTTTGGGAGAGAAGCTCAGGTGTTTCAATGAAATACTTTGCCCTTACATCCATTAAAGTTAGGGTTCCACTCAGAAAAAGCCAGCACTGCTTTCTGGTAAAGTTGATGTAGATCTGTTGTATGTTCATGTCCTTCAATGAGTTAAAAGTTTAAAATGTAATTGCAGTGCTAGTCAAAGCTATACGTAGGAATTCCACTTAAGGCTCAATTTTGATTATTTAAAAAGCAGCTGAGACTCATTATAGACCCTTTATGAACAGGTTTAACTCATGTTTAATAGACTTTAATTTTAATGAAAACAGTAAAAGTAACTTTTTTTCAGTAACTTAATTATTTTTAATCCGTGTTGGTACATTTCAGCCTGTCAGAAGTAAAAGGTGGTAGGTATCTTTCATTTTTGGAAAGGTCCTCCTTCCCTTTTTACGAGGTTCATTCTCTCAACTGGGAATTAATTTGATCTTATTTAATAATATGTCCAGCAATCCTGCACAGACCAATTTTTTAGAAGATTTAGAATAGCACAGTAGTTTTGTGAAACCTAAGTATTTAAGAGAACAATTTCCATTGCTCCTGTGATCTCCTTTAGAAGCTTTAGAAGATGGCTCTTATTTCTCATAAAGTTGGAAGAAGCTCAAGTCACAACAGTGAATACCAGAAGGGGAAAACTGTCTTTGCAAAGTGATCAAACAAGTGATTGGGAAGGGAGCTAAACTTTTTTGGTGAATTTTTGGAGATTACATATAGCAAAGTGCACAAATCTTAGGTGTAGCTCAATGAATTTTTACAGATGAACACACTTATATAACCATTACCCAGATCAAGACATAGAACGTTATCAGCACCCCATAAATCCCCGGTTGTGCCCTTTCTTCCGAGTCACTACCTCTTAGGTTAGCTTTTCCTGTTTTGGACTTAATACAACATATATTCTTTGCATCTGGCATCATTCCTTTAACACTGAGATACAACCTTGATGTTACTTGTAACAATAGTTCCTTCCTTTTGCATGCTGCATAGTATTCCCATTGTATAAATATACCGCAAGGTATGTATCCATTTTACTATTAATAGGTATTTGGACTATGTTGGAAACTGGTGTTCTAAACATTCTTGTACAGTCTTTTGGTGTACATATGTTTGCATTTCTGTTGGATACTGTATACGAAAAGTGGAATTGCTTGGTTATGGTAGAGGGTGGACAACTATCAGTTTTCCACAGTGGTTATACCAGCTCATCCTCTAGTAGCATTGTATGTGACAATTTGAAAACCCATGCATTTTAATTAACAACTGTTTCTATAAAACTTAAGGCTTCAACTCTGGAAGTGTTATCATACTTAGATTACTCTATGTTTGAGTGAATAAATCACTCTAATGCCTCAACTTCTGTTTTTAGATATGGCTCGTGGACAGCAGAAGATTCAGTCTCAGCAGAAAAATGCCAAAAAGCAAGCTGGACAAAAGAAGAAACAAGGACATGACCAAAAGGCTGCTGCCAAAGCTGCCTTAATATATACCTGCACTGTCTGTAGGGTAAGGGGCATTGAAAGACATAGCTTTCCAGTGGGCAAGTCTTTCATTAGAGATGAGCTTGTATAGGTTAAATTTTTGCAACCATGGCAAAATAAATGCTTTACTTGAAATAGTAGATTTGAGAGCCAGTAATCCATCTTCATTCAACTATTCAACAAATATTTTTTGAATGGCTCCTATGGCCAGGCACAGTTCTCTAGGTGTTGGGGAAAAGAATGAACAAAGTAAATTCCCTTTCCTCCTGCAGAATAAAGATGTCTTCTTAAGGGCAAATAATCCACCTTGAACTTTGTAAAGAAGTCAGATCTACTTTCTTAGTTAGAGCTATGTAAGATGCTAGTGAGTATACCTCTGTTTTATAATTAGCTTTTTTCTTTCTTCACTACATCCATAGTTAGAACGTCTACAAAACTGTATAGAGTATATTCATGTTGAGGGCTTTTACTAGGATTAAGATGTTTTATTAGATTTGAAGAATGATCATGACAGCTACTATTGAGTGCTTACCATGTGCCAGACACTGATCCAGGTGTTTTACATATATGAGCCCATTAATCCACACAACCCTATGAGAGAAAGTACTTTTCTTCTCATTTTACAGTAGAGAGTAAACTGAGTCGTGGAGACTAAATTAACTTGTGCGGGGACACTCAGCTAGTATGAAGAAGAGCTGGGATCCGAACCCAAGCAGTCCTGCTCCGGAGTTCACCCTCTGGACCACCATACCACATTACCTCAAAGAAGTTTTCTTTAAGTCCCATCCAGAGTCTCTGTCTTCCCTGTTTGTTTAAGCTCACCACTCTTGAAGTTAGTGAATAAAAGTGCCAAGGGAGAAATACATAGTGAGGTTGGTCCAGTAGACAGACACACACACACACACACACACACTCTCTCTCTCTCTCTCTCTCTCTCTTTTTTCCCCCCAGAGCTCTGTTACCTGGGTAGGGTTGGTGGTATGGATGGGAAGGGATCTCGATAAGACATGATTCCTGGACTAAAGTTTATCATCTATTGAAGTCATTAGTGATGAAATAGAAGTTCCTAACTATATAAAAGTTCTCATTCATCTGAGAGGAAATCTGTTACATTAAATATCTTGTTCACATTGAGCTTTGATATACTTAAAATAATGAAATTGAACAGTTTCAGATTCTGTTTGGAAAGAAGCAGGATAAGAGTAAATTTCACTAAATTACTGATGAAGAAATACTTTGACCTAATAGTACTAGAGTAGTTCACATGTTTAGAAACACGAAACAACAAAAAAACTTCTATTTCTTGTTTTGTCTAATTGTGTTAAAGAACAAATAATTGAAGGTTCTTGCCCGGGGAAGTTAGCATAGTGTAATATTTGAGAGCTGAAGTACGTAATTCTAGGTTAAAACAGGTCTTGGGCAAATTAAACTCCAGGTTTTAATTTCCTTATTATGTAAAATGAGAACAGGAGGAACTAATTTAAGATTACTAGAAGCTTCTTTGAGAATGCAGGTAATGTACTTAACATAATACGTGTTCAGTAAATGTTACCTATTGTTTACTGTTAATCAGTTAACAGAATACTTTATTCTATGTGACCCACCCCTTCATATGTGAAATGTGGGAATATGTTAGGAATTTCTTTGTTACAAGGTCCTTTTTCATATGCCAGCCACTAAGTTACAGTAATTTAAAAGTGTTTTGCCATAATTATCTATCATCATCAGGATCAGGATTTTACAAGTTGATACATTTTTATTTCATGAATTGGGTCTAACTCTTCTTTTTTGCACAATTTTTAAAATTAGACACAAATGCCAGACCCTAAGACCTTTAAGCAGCACTTTGAGAGCAAGCATCCTAAGACTCCACTTCCTCCAGAATTGGCTGATGTTCAGGCATAAAGTTGTTTACAGGTAATTGACCTTTTCTTCTTTTTATTTCTTAATCTCAAGGTTGTATACAAGAGCAAAATTCTGTAATTGTGAAATTAATTTCTACCTTCTGGCTAAAACTTTATTCTCCTTTTTAAGTTAATGTTTAACTTTACAGTTGTTAAATGTCTGTTTTTCTGGACCATATCGTTTCAATATCTTTGAAAAATCTTAGTTTTTACGACTTTAGCCAAAAATGAGATGAGGGGATGCTGACCAACTCTCGTCCAAGAAGGGAAGAGACTTTTCAGCTTAAAGAAAATAACTTACATAGGTATTTGAGGGTCTTGCTCCCAGAAATGCTGCAGACCAATATTTCTGAGTGCCTTTTTGGAAGTATTTTACTTAGTGCTTAGCAAAGCTTATAAGTGCATTAAAATATAGGGCAAAATGTAGTCGTATACTGTGTAAACTTGGTAGTTGCTTGAAAATAATCAGTTTACACTTTCTGTGTAGTTGGGTTTTTTTCCCCCATCAGTGGTGAGTGATGGAGTGGTTGTGTCTAAGAATTATTTCCTTTTAAAGTAAATTCATCAAAGATCTATTTATAAAATCCAGTTAACAGATATATCAGACTATCTTGATAGCTTAGGCATATTCTGCTTCTTTTAGACATTTGAAATGCATATAAGTTGCATTTGTGCAGTGCTTTACATTCACTGAAAATTTTGCTTATATTTTATAGGTGAATTCATGACACCTTTGACTCTTCTCAGACCTTAGGTAACAAACCTGCAGCTGCTTTTCTAACAAACTGTTGATCAGCAAAAATAAAGGGGCTACAGAAACACTCATTTTTATGCTGTTCCCTTTTGGGCTTCATGCAAAGACAATTCTGTGTAAATGTACAGTTGACTCTGATTTGGAAATCTGAAAATCAGTCCATCCTTGTTATAAAAAATTTTTTTACAATTGTAATTATATTGATGTTCATATTGTGTAAAATAACTCATTTAATAAAGTAGTACTTTGATTTTACAACATCACAGGATAAATGGTTCTAGAAATTCTGTTCCAACTTTCCACATTATTTGCCTTATAAAAATCTAATGAATTCTTCAGCTAGAATTGCAAGTGCAATTCTTGTCTCCCTTTCTCAGATCAGTGGCAGGTTCATTAGTTAAACTAAAACAGATTCATTCATTAAATTTGTGCACAGTATTTTATCGGCAGCTGCTGATCTAGGTGAAGAGTGACTTACCTGCTGCCTTAGTATAGTGCAATCATGTGTTATTTCCCCCCTCATTGTTTCCTTTGTTTGAGGTTGGATATATCAACTTGCTGTATGATCTGCCAACCAGGTATACTCTGTAGATAACTGATAAATTCCTAAAGCGGTTGGATTGTCAGTGAGCCCTTCTGAACGATTAGCTTCTGAAGAATATGCGATAATGAAATAATCAGTGAGCCTGTTTAATACAAAATACCACGGAACGTATGTGAACTGGTAAAGGTCTATCTTTTATAAATTATACTGGATTCTTTGGAAATTCTTGGAGTTCTTTAATTTGTAATTGAAACTCAAGTTTTGAAGGAGTTTTTGGAAGTTATCAGTGATTTGGCCAATTTTATGAACGGATTTTGCATTAACAGTAAGATTGGAATGACTTGTGGCTTGGTTAATTTACGGAACGTTCTCCCTCTTTTCCTTTTAAGTTGAGTAGTTGATTTTAGGAGTTTACTTTGTGCTGGTTCCTAAAATCAAAGACTGTATAGTATGACTTCCATCTGAACTAGAAAAGTATTAAAATAGGCCAATATCCACATTCTTTTGGCTGTAAGGATGGGGAAGTGTGTTGGTTCAGATGAATGAGGTAAATCCTACTGAGTTAAAGAAGACTGATTTTAGGGTTCTTCTAAATTGCTTTTGTCAACTATTAACTTTACGAGTGACACTGCTGTAACTCAGTTTAAATTTTAAAGTTAATATATTAGGAAGAACACTCAAATATTTACTGGTAATCGCTTAGAGCTGCAAATATGATCCTGTGGATTACAAACGCATCCCTTTGTGCTGTAACGCATCACTGGATTGGTTTTGTGGCTGTGCATATTCTGCCCACCTTGTTGTCTTCACTGTAAGTTTAAAATAAGATATTTCCAAGGAAAAGCTTCAGTGGTGATAGTTTCTTAGCAACTCCTATCCTTATACTCTTACTTTGAGATAGTCATTTTTTTCATGTATTTAATTTCCTAAGCTTCAGATTTAGTGTCTGTTATTTCCCAATATGTTGGTTACCAGAATATTAGAATTTGCCTAATTGCTTGTGGTGGGTATTATAGAAGTTCTGGTTAAATTACAATTTAAAAGTTTTTAAAAGTGCTTTGAGCATATGTATGTTTATGTTTAGTAACAAATCATTTAAAAACCATTCGCAAGTTTTGGTTTAATTTTTTTTTCATTTGTTTTACCAACTGTAATTTAGAATAAAAGCTTTTTGTTCTTGTATTTAAGCCTTTTTGTAAGCAGCTGAAGACACCATATTTACCTTTAGATCTCAGTTGTAGGGCAAGAGCTACATTGATCTTTCATAAGATATTAATTCTCATATTTCATGTGAGGATTATTAGTACAATCTCCTTTTATTGTGTTCGAGTTAAATCTGCTGTAAGGGGAAAATTACATTTCTTAAACCTCCTTGTTATTTAATTTGAAGATTCTTTAACAGATCACAGCAAAGTTTGTTATAAAACTGTTATGGTGTCTTCAAAGACTTGATAAATTACCCTGAGAGAGACTCGGTCCGTTTGTATTCTGTATCTCCATTAGTTGCCAAAAGGAAATGGGGTTAAGATTAAACTTGTTTCCATTCTCCTTCGTATGGATCTGCATCCCCACGTTTAACTGACACAGTGGGGCTCAGTTGTGTGCTGTAATGTCTTATTAAAGAAGATGTTAAAACTAAACTAGTCTAATTTCTTCTACAATTTAGGAGTTTTTATATTACCTCTTCCCATTTTTTTCATTTCTTGAGTGTAGAGCTCAGTAGTTCTAAGGGTGGCAAGAGATTTCTTTGATTTCTCATTGTTTTCCCTGCAGTCTGTCTATTTTGGTTCTGTGGAATACTCCTTAAGAATGAAAGGTGGAACCTTGCTATATAGAATAAGTGTAAGTTGTTAGAAGTGGGAAGTAATTAGCTACTAATATAAAAATAATACTAAAACGAAAAATGCTTAGATCGATTAGTTGAATTGAATGGATGAGTCCTTAATGACATTGACTCAGATTTGAGACAATACTTTTGGTTTTATAGTAAGATACTGTATAGCTAATTAATCACATCATAATTCAAACCTGAGATATATGTAGCATGAATAAGATAGAATTTACCAGCACTACCATTTTACCCAAAAAACCACTTGTTCATTTTTATTCATATGTGGAATATACTGTATTTGTTTTGAAATGTGGTTATTGGAGAGCGAGGCCTTTTTCTATAATAGAGTAATCAACTGCAATCAAAACTATAACCGAAATGCCACATTTAAATTACTGGATCTGAATGAATTCATTTGTGCCAGATTTTTTATTTTGGGGGGAGTTTTTGATCTGGTTCGGTTTTGGTCAGAGACATACTTTTTAGCGTGTATAGCAATGAAGATCAACACTAGGGGGTTGTGTTTACTGTGACTTTACATTCTGAAATCTCTCAGGATGATTAATTTTATCTATTGTAAAAGTTTCAGAAAAATCTTAAGCGCTTCCAATGTGTAGATTTAATAAAACATCTATCTACTTGACTAAGGAGATAGATGTTTTGTTCATAAAACTTCAACCTGTCAATATTAGTTGTGGATTACAATATTAAACTGAAAATTAAATGTCTTCTATTTTAAATGTTCTTTGGATAAGCTGCTTACTGAGTTACCATCTTTTGGGGGTTTTTTGTTTTTGTTTTTGAGTAGCCATTCTGTAGCTATAATTTTTTGTACGTAATATGGCTCCAAATTTAAAATCTGCACATATAGAGACAGACTTAACCATTTATTTATATCCATATGGGCATAGCTACAGTGTGAAGTAATTATGCTAAAATCATATTACTGTCTAATCACTTTTTACGTATACAGCATTGTTGTTTCTATACATGAAATTATTAATAATGGCTTAGATTTTTTGTAGAGCAAATAAGTACCTCCCTTTATCACTATCTTCTGTGTTGTAAAATTCAGAATGAGACTTGCATTTTGGGTTCTACTTTACTAAACTTTAATTAGTAGGAGGTAGGCCATTGTAATATTTCCTCTATAACAATGTAACAGTGTTTTTCAAAATGAGTCTTACAGCTAGGGACCATACATCCTGGTCTGCCAGGGACAGTCTTGGTTTAAATATTAATTTAAATATTACATATCAAATTAATAGTAGAAATTAAGATGTCTCATTATAAATCTTAATATTGCCTCCTTTTACTTACACACATGTCAAACAGTTTATAGCTTACCTCTCAAACAACTGAAGTGTTTTTTTAAAATGTAGGTTTTAAAAAAATTCTGTGATACTCAGAAGTTCTTACTCATTGAATGGGAGCATGTGATACTGGTGAGATTTGTCTTTTAAAGGCCTTGAATCTATGTTTATTTTTTCATTTATCCTACTGAGATTTAAATATCTGGTAAAATGTGCTAGATTCCAAATTTTGAAATGCCTTTTCACAGGCATTCATATAAACGTTATATTGTTTGTACCAAGTTGTTCAGACTTTTGTTTCCTGATCATCATTTCACCCAAAGGACTTATGGAAGATGTCCAGTTGGGATTAGAGGTACTGCCTGTTAGCATAAAGCACTTTTACTGAGAAGGAAGGGAAATCTGCAGCATTGGCTGCACGTTAGATGTCCTTAGGGCAAATCTTCTGATTTTGATAGAGGATACTTCTACATATTACTTGATCTGGATCTCTGAAGTTTTCTTTTTTATTAACTCTTAATTTTGGAATACTTTTAGATCTACAGAGAAGTTGTAAAGGTAATACAGGGGAGTTCTCATATCGTCTTGCCCAATTTCAGTTTACCCTAACCTTATAATTTCACATTACTGTGGTATTTGTCAAAACTACTGGTATGTTAACATTAACTCCATTTTGTCTATTAATATCCTTTTCTGTTCCAAGATCCAATCCAGAATGCCACATTGCATTTAGCTGTCGTTCCTCTGTGGTCTCTGATGATTTCTCAGTCTTCACCTTGTTTTTCATGACCTTGACAGTTTTGAGGCGTATGGAGATATGTTGTAGACTATCCCTCGGTTTGGATTTGTCTGATGTTTTTCCTGTGATTACATTGGGGTAACAGGTTTTTGGAAAGGAGACCACAGAGGAGATGTGTCCTCATCACATCATCTTGAGGGTGAATGATCCCCACATGACATCACTAGTGCTGTTAGCTTTCATCACTTGGTTAAAGTGGCATCTGCCGGATTCTCCACTGGAAAGTTACTATTTTCTCCTTTCCATATGCTATTTTTTTTTTTAATTTTTTTTAATTTTTTTCCTTTTCTCCCCAAAGCCCCCAGCACACAGTTGTATATTCTTCGTTGTGGTTCCTTCTAGTTGTGGCATGTGGGACGCTGCCTCAGCGTGGCTTGATGAGCAGTGCCATGTCCGCGCCCAGGATTCGAACCAACGAAACACTGGGCCGCCTGCAGCGGAGCTCGCGAACTTAACCACTCGGCCACGGGGCCAGCCCCTCCATATGCTGTTTTTTCAAAGTAAGATCAGCCCTTACTCAAGGGGAGTGGACATTTAGCTCCACCTCCTGGAGGGGAAAGAATCTATGCATATTATTTGGAATTCTTCTATAACGGATATTTATTTCTACTCCCCACTTATTTATTCAATTTATATGCTATGGACTCATATTCCAGTATAGTCCTGCACCACATAACGACGTTTTGGTCAACAACAGACTGCATATACAAGGGTGGTCCCTTAAGGATTAGTACCATATTGCCTGGCATGTAATAGGCTATACCATCTAGGTTTGTGTTAAGTACACTCCATGATGTTCACACAGTGATGAAATCGCCTAATAATGCATTTCTCAGAACGTTAAGTGACGCATGATTGTACTGTTACTTATTTTGTTATTTAAATTATTCCAGCTTTGGCCATTGGGAGCTCTTTCAGATTGGTCCTGTGTCCCTTTTGACATTCCCCATCATTTTTTGAGCATTTTCTTTCTTTTAACACTACAACAAGCTCCAGGCTCATCTTACATTTTCCCTGCCCCAGCCCTAGAATGAGCCATTTCTCCAAAGAGCCCTGATTCCTTGTATTGGAGAACGGTATTTAGAAACCAAGATCTGGGCATTGGGTATAAGGTCTGTCTGGTTTTTTTAAAACTATGAATGTTCCCCTTTTTTTCACCGTTAGCTAACATTATTTGAGAGTTGTAAGGAAGAAGAGTATCTTCATCCCAGATCTTTAGAAGGATGAGGATCTGAGTGAGAAGTTTTCCACACGTAATTACTGACACATTCTCCTTTTTTTTCTTGTTTTGTTTTTGGGATTTTTTAAATTTTTTTTTATTTTTTGAAGTATTCTCTTAAGCCACCAGCATGTTTATTGAAAATAATATATGTGAAATTGCTTTATAAGCTGTAAAGCATTATATAAAAGCAATTTATTATTATAAAAAAAAATAACAAAGTCCCTAATCTTTATAAATAAAAATGCATTTTAGAGCATAATGCATATATTATGTAATTTTAGGCTATATGGTTAAGGGCTTGGCGTGTTTTACAGACAATAACTTATACAGGAATCTATAGGATGGAGATGACCTGTGGGTTGGAGGGGTTGATCTGTGCCTGGAAGGATGGGGAGTCAGCTGGGGAAGGAGTAGGAGTGAATAGGGGAATCAAAGTGAAGGTGGCTGAGTAAGCAGAAGTTCAGGCGATTTCATAAAGTTTCTTTGAGAGAAAGTGAGTAGGCTAGCCAGAGCATAAGGCTTGTGAATAAGAGCCTTTGAGCCCATGGGGGAGAGTGGGGAGCAATCATTAGAATGGGACCAGATTGGGCAGTGCATGCATACTGCAATAAATAGTTCAGACTACTCCTGACTCTATGACCCTTTCAGGGTGTAGGGGCAGAGGAGTGACATGATGCTAGGAAGATTAAATTTTACCAGTGAAATATTCTGTTGGTACTACTTTGATAGAGATCTTTTTACAACCTCTTGTACTTTGCTTGTTTTTTAATCAAATATACTGTCCATAATTTAACCTTTGATTGTTCAAGGTCATTGTGAATGCAGATTTACAGGCAAGAATTTTGCTCTGCTTTAATGCAGTGATACTGCTAGGACCCAAAGAACTGTATCAAGGGGTGTTTGCCTCTGCACTAAATGGTCCCAGACTACAGTGTGTCTCTACACGATATTTATCTTCTACTTCATTATAAAAGTAATACATTTTCATTATATATAAAAATTCAGAGAATGTAGTGA